ACATTACGTTTTACGGCACACATGGCCCGGCCCGGCAAATTGACATTGATGACAGATCCGGCCCTCATAACAAATGCGTTTGACACCTCTGGCTTAGCAGGAGCATTGATGACCCTTCTGTTTACCTGCTCACCTCGTCCTTCTCTTTTCCCAGCACAGTTTTACTTATTTCTGGTTTCCAATCTCTGAGACCTGCTAAGAGAAAAGCCACTGGTAGGGTGGGTTACAGAAGAAAGCAGTAGTTGGAGACGGAGTTCTGCATTCCCACACATCTGTTGCTGCTTTGCTTGTCGTCACTGGCACAGTTTCATTATACAGCCATTGTGTTTGAAAACAGGGTTTTGCTGCCATTGCATCTAGATTCTATTCTTATTTGTGCCTGGATGCTTCAGCAAACATGGATTTTATACTGCAACCACAAGGATGTGTTCTGCACCCTGCAGATTTTTTGACTTGGTTTTTCTTCAACCGTTCTTCAAACCCATCGTGGTCTCTGCTCACTTCAGATGTGTGATTCAGTATGGAAGAGGCGAGCGGCGATTCACAAAAGCTCATCCCCTGCCGCAAATTTTGTTAGTCTTAAGGTGCTGCTGGACTCTTGCGCTTTTCTGCTGCTGCAGACAAACAACGGCGACCCGTCTTGATCTATCATTTATGGGACCCTGAAATCGTCTTTTAATGCTTGGCGACATCTCCTGCAACAAACATAGTAATGCTTCTACATTTGATCTCAGTAAGCCAAAGTTTTCCCATAGTGAAGCTTCCTAAAGTACCACACACATCCACCCAAGGCTTCTCAAATGTAACGGCACTTCTTCCCCTAATGCGGCAGTCTAGCTGTCCCCCAAAAGGACCACCTCCCCTTAGTACCCTTCTCCCAGTAGCAAAGTATAACGTGAATCAATATTTCACTTCCCTCCCTTTGGACAGCCCAGGAATATTCACCTTCCCTATTATACCCCGATCCCATCAGATCTCGGAAGCTAAGCAGGGTCGGCCCTGGTTAGTACTTGGATGGGAGACCGCCAAGGAAGTCCAGGGTTGCTACGCAGAGGCAGGCAAGGGCAGAACCACCACTGTTAGTCTCTTGCCTTAAAAACCCATTGGGGTCGCCATAACTTGGCTACAATGACACCTTCCACCACCACCACTCCACTCTGGAAGCAGCGGATTTCTCCAAGCAATGACAGACAGGAGCCCGTTTGGTGTAGTGGCAAGGAGCACGGACTCTAATCTGGAGAACCAGGTTTGATTCCCCACTCTTCCACATGCAGCTGCTGGAGTGACCTTGGGTCAGTCACAAGTTCTTTCAGAGCTGTTCTCTCAAGGGCACTTCTCAAGAGAGCTCTCTCAGCCCCACCTACCTCACAGGGTGTCTGTTGTGGGGAGAGGAAGGGAAAGGAGATTGTAAGCCGCTCTGAGTCTCCGAGTGAAGGGCAGGGTATAAATCCAGTCTCCTTTTCTCTTCTTCAAAGAGCCATGTCAGGACTGGATGAGGCCAAAGAGGAGTTTGTGCCTTTGGCAACATTGCCTCTTGAGGAATCTGGTTCTACACCAACATTTCAGGGTCACAAGTTAAAGAAATAGGAAATTAGGTTTATTTTATTGCTGTTCGGTTTCCTTGCAAATACAAATGATCACAAATTCAGGCGAGACGATTTACACGGTTATTTGTATGTGGGATGTTTCAATGTGGATGATCATACAGATGTAGTATGGAGGACCATTTTCAACACAACGATATGTTAGGATGAGAAAGGAAAAAAAGGCAATCGTGGTCAAACATAGCTATTTATTTTTCTTTTTATAAACAGCATTCAGTTCTTACTGAAAAAAAGCCTAGAATTTATATATTTTTTCATCCCATCACTTACAACAATCTGTATACATTATTTACATCTCTCTAATACATGTGTTGCAGATTTTCAGACATTCAGCTTTTTTTTAATCAAAAAGCCATTTTCATTTAAAACAAGTACTGATCAATAATGACTACAAACTGAAGTAATATTGGCACAGTCTGCTTACAGTACAGGTCTCTGTGTTGTATTTTTATATTTTAAGCCTTTGGGGGTGTGTTTTTTTCCCTCCAGCTGTTCTGAAATACTGAAAGAAGCAGATGTGTTAAGATCGCAACGTTGCGTTTGCAATACCCTTTCTGCCTCATGCTAGGCTGACTGGGCACCAGGTTTTGGGAGTCACCGGGTGGACTCCAAACAGGAAGGCAAATTTCAGATGCAGCATAAAACCAGGAGGCTGGGAGGAGGCACGGTGAAACTAATAAAAGCACAAGGAATGTTAAGTCCGTGAGAGTTCTTACACAATCGGCAGAATCCAAGTCGCCAGGCTTTCCCTGCTTCAACGTGCAGGCTAGGAGCCGCGTGTTCGAGGACTCCTTGCAAACACTCTTCGAACTTAAAGAGTGTTACGCGTATCCTGGGGATGCTTAACCTAGCCTCCTCCCCAAAATTCAGAGGACTTTTTTTCACCCCACTGTAGCCTGGTGTGGTATAATCCCAGAAGTTTTACTAGTCAGTTCTGCAGATTGTATAAAAGTAGTCTCAGCCAGGGGCTGCTATGACTGTACTCTACAGACCGTGTTGGGGAACGATCACGTTCCCGTGTGCCTCCCCTGTCAGCACGACGGATTGGCCCATGTGCGTTTTTCCCAGCCTCTCTTCTCTCGCACTGTATCTACTGAGTAAGAATTAAGTTGGTCCATCCCCAGTCCCAATTTGGCGGGGCTACCACTGAGCCCTTCCCCCACTTGCACGTCAACGTTATTCTGATGGCGAATATTCGGCAATACGACATCTGCGAACGAATGTATTCAAAACATCGTGGAATCAAATGACTTCTCAAAAGATTTCTGTGTTCCCAAATGACAAGTTATACATGTACAAAAATAATGAGTACAGTTTAGTGGCTATAAAAATTAATTTTCCCCTAAAAATACAGCAATCTATGAAAAACTATTGAAACGACAAGTTCTTGGGGGGGGGGAGAAACAGAAGAAGCATTTTAAAATCTTGAGTTATTCACTCTGCAATTTTAGGAGGGGACTATATATTTTTTTTTTAAAGGAGGAAACTATATGTACCACTGACAGAAATAAAATATCAAATAGTAATGTAAATGTTAATATCTCACTTCTAAAGTGGCTAGTGGTTCTAGCAATGCAGTCTAGAAAACCCCCAAAAGGTCCTATCCATTAAAGAAACGCAATGCAAATAATAATAATAATAATAAGCAACACAGGCACATTGCAGGTTTTTTTTTAAAAAAAATGGCAAACCTGCCTTCATGTTATGAATTAAGAAAAAGAAAACTGGTATTTTGCCTACAATAATATAGTATTCCAAGAGAAATGAAGAAGCATTGGTTGATTTAAGACATTCACTAAGCCCAATTTTTTTTTCTTTTTGGATGTATGCCGGACCAAGGCAAGTGCTGAAGGAAAAGGAAAATATCTAAAGGGGTAAGAAGAGTCAATAGCAGCAAATAGGCTTTTGCCTGGGAAGAGAACCTCAAAGAAAGATTTCACTTTCAACATAAATCAACAAAGCCTCCGGTTTACTATTTTAAGGTTAACTGCAGATATTCGGAGTTCTACATTGCATAGTAGGCAGTGAAAGAAAACTTGGCATGAACTTGCAAAAGGTTACATTTGTCCTTTTAAGAATTGTTCTCTCTTTTACTGAATAAAAATGTAAAAGAAAAGTTGTTCTCTCTAAAGCCCAACTGTCACAAATAGCAGAATGTGGGGCCATTTTTATACTTGTGCTATGAGCACAGATCCCTGACGCGAGTATGGAAACTGGATGTATAGTTTTCTGCGGGTAGAATTCAAAAGCTCTGCCCCGCCAATGTAAACTCTCTCGATAAAACGAATCACTGGCCCAAGAAAGCACAACACAATTGGTTTCAATGGACTCGCACCTATCTTGATGACTGACGTTGGGTTTGCCCTGTCGTCTCGTTAAGATTATAACAGCTCTCAGTGTTACCAACCGTATCACTGACAGGAAGGAAGGAACACAGTAGTAGCGAAAACCAGGGCAAAATACTTTCAGACTGTTTTGAAGTTATAAGGCTTTTTCCTTCGTAATGGAGTAGAAAAGTGTTCAAACCAGGCTGGCTGTTGACTAGAAACATAGCCTAGAAAATGTCGCCTGCTTCCCAGTGTTTGGCAGCCCTGAACACCTGGTGTTTAATACCAAAAAGCAGTCCAGTATTTAGCACAGTATCCCTTTAAAGTTAAAAAGAAAACGTTCCAAATGGTGAGTTTGTTTTTAATGATACTACAACTGTTCCGTTCTCAAGAAACTTTACAACTGAAAAAAAACCAGGCTACGCTTTGGTTGATAATATTAACATACCCTTCTTAAATCTGGATATAATTGGGGGGGGGGGGGGGGGAATCAAAAAAACCTTGCCGTGCAATACAGAAAAGGGGGATACTTGTTCTGAATGCTGTGCTACTCTCTTCAGTGCTTCAGCTTTCAAGTGTAATGCAAACCAGCAGAGTTTAACCAACAGCACTTTCAGACAGTGATCTCCAGACTTTTACTATGCAATTAGAAAATCAGCAATTAAAGCAAAATCAAAGTTTTGTATTATTTTTCTCTTTAAAAGCACCTGAAACCTACTAATATTCTGAAGAGTCGCTATAACCCCTAACAGGAACGACGTCTCTAGCCTTAAATTATTTAACACAAATATCATGCCAGTACGGCTGAAGATCTAACTACCACCCTAAAATTAAAATGATTCAAGACTCCAGTTCCCAAATGCAAAGATGCATTTCTGGCAGAAGTGGCACTTAAAAATATATATATATATCTTCTGTTAGGGAAATATGAGCAGGGCGATCCTGTGCAGAGTTACTCCAGTCTAAGCTAGCTGCAAACAATAGACTTTATCTGGAGTAACTCTGCACAGGATTGCACTATAATTTAGTTAGAGGAGGAAACTTTAGGTTATACCTGTCCTTACTTGTGAACAGCTCTGTGTAAATTCCAACTTAAAAAAAAAAAAAAGATTGATTCTCAGTCATGCATTTGAATTTCCAATTTCAGGATCGTGAGCCTGGCTTCTATGGACGAAACTGACGTATTTTTTTAAAAAAACACGGCATTGTGCCCATTAAATAACATTACTATTGCTGATGATTCCAGTTTTGCAGGCTTCATATAGAATGACGATTCTCCATGCCCCAGCTCCCTAATTATCAAGGCCCAGAATATGAAAAGTAGACCTCTACAATGCAAATGCAACATTTCCTGTATTCCCAAACTCTTATGACTGAGTTGCAAACAACTCGAGATCAGTTCAAAAGCTACAGAGCATTCTGGATAACGGTTAGAACAGTAAGACTTGAAAAAATGTGTCTGAAAGCAATCTCACTGACGCCACACAAATACAGAGAGCTGTAATGTCCATAAAACGGCAAAAAGGCCATGCCTCTATTTCAAACATCCAGATTTTGGTGCATAGACAACGTACATTTGTAAAATGTAGGCATCAAGTTGCTATTCCATGAGGCAACTCTCCTATCAGATTCCTCTACAGAGGAAGGCCTTTTTTCCAGAACACACGGACCCATCCGTCGCTTTCAGACATGCTAAACAGATGCTTCAACAAAAAAAAATGTCATATTTCGGAGGTAACAACTAAGCACTGAGGGAAACTGCAGGTTTCAAACGCCCAGGAAAGGTCTGTTTGCACACGGAACACCGAATAAAACCTGACAGAGTACTGCTGTGTGAACCAGAGACGGTGCGTTATCTTGATTTTCTCTGCATGAAGAGTCCTGAGTTTTCTCATGAAGGTCCCAAAATGATCGTTTACAAGCCACAGCGGTAGTTGTTTCGAAAGCTGTCCGATTATATGGTACTGACTCTTTTCCTCAGTTGAAGGGGAGGGGGGGAAGAAACAGGGTGGGTAACAAAATGAAGCGGAATCTAGCAAATGATTAAAAATTAAACCAGGAAAATTCCCAGCTGCACTCTGTTCCGTATAAACGGCTGCACTTAGGTACAGCTGTACAACAGCGACTGGCAGCTCAGAATGGAACGGGCATGAGGATTAAGCTCTGAGGCAGTTTCTCTCAGGAGACGGCTGAGGAGTTCCCTTTCCCTGGTCAAGAGGACTTCCTTAACTTACCATTAAAATGAGGCAAGAATGGCAAATTTTTAGGGAAAAAGGCTCCTTGTTGCCAACCTCCCCTTTCGTTTTCACTTGATGCTCCTACAAGACTGCTGTTGTGGGGGGGGGGGGGTTTGTAGGAAAACGTAACAGAATAACTCAAGCTGCTCACAAACCACCAGGAAAAAATAATAATCACAGAACAGTGGCTGATCTAAATTAATGTTTTCAGAAGAGATATAAGCTAGAAGACAGTGGTCAACCCCCTGCTAATCCTTGGTCCTCCGTAGATGCAAGACTAACAGGTTGGGGCTGCTACGGAAAAAGCAAGGTGTCAGACAGACAGCTTCTCTCTCTCTCCCCACAGGACACCCCGCACCCCGGTCACCCCACATTCATCTCTAAAGGCATTGCTTTGATTTAAAAGCTGGAGATCACCGATAGAAGTTATGGCTTGCTTTTTTTTTTTTTTTTTTAAGTTCCACACATATCTATCTATCTATAACAAGTGTTAGTAAATATCCTGGGTAGTAATAGGTATTTTCGTTTCCAGCAATGTTCTTTGCTATGTGCTTTGTACCTCAGAAGCAAGTCTGCCAAGGCACTTGAAGGATAACGTTAAGTCTTGTAAGGACTTTCTGAGAACGGGCTACAACCGGCAGTGTAGAACCCATATGACCAGCAGTGTCACATTGCCCAACAAGCAAATTGTTGTTGTTGTTGTTTTCTTTTTAAAAAAACAAAACCTTTATAAACACTCAAGGTCTGCTTTAAAAAATATTACGCAATGAACAAGAACAGAAAACCATTTACTATGTGTGCCTCAGTAAAAGACAAAAGCGATCCTCTAATAAAAGCACAGAGAATAGGTTGCCTGAATTTTTTTTTCCTTTTTCTCTTAAAAAAACAAAAAAACAAAACAAAACCCACACACAACCAAAAAAAAAAACACATTAAGATTACAATTCTCCACACTCTTGCTCATGAGTAAGTCCCACTGATCTCAAGGAATGTGTGGAGGATTGCAGCCCAAACCCCTAACCCACCACATGCCTGCTTAAAGATACAAGTGATTTCTACAAATCCATGTTCTGCTTATCTGTCCTTCGAAGTGAGTTTTTCAATCAGTTCTTGGAGTGGAGCGAGTTCTCTTCTGTCTATAAGGTTAAATTCCTGTGGGGAAGGGAATAAAGGCAATACCTGTGTTATGTATTTAACAGAACAATCACTAGTTAATAGCATTATTTTAATTGAAGTAAACTGAAAACAAAACTATCCTGCAACACCCCTTAAATGGTGGATTAAATTGTTTGTAGGCAGAGAAAATCAGCCCAGCAAGGTAAAACATAAATGATAGTCCAACATTAGCAAAACACAATAAACAATTCGATTTGCCACCATTTGAAATATTTACCGGCACCTAGGTAAAGGTTCCCTTGCTCGAAAGCCAGTCGAATCTGACTCTAGGGTTGCGGTGCTCATCTCCGTTTCAAAGCCGAAGACCCAGCGCTGTCCAAAGACATTTCCGTGGTCATGTGGCTGGCATGACTAAACACCAAGGCGCACGGAACGCTGTTACCTTCCCACCAAAGTGGTACCTATTTATCTACTTGCAATTTCTTGCTTTCGAACTGCTAGGTTGGCAGGAGCTGGAACTAGAGATGGGAGCTCACTCCGTCATGCGGCACACTCGGGTCTCGAACTGCTGAACTACTGACCTTCCACAGCCTGCAGTTCAGCGTCTTAACCACTTGAGCCACCGCAGCTCCGGCACCTACATCATTATATATAACAGAGAAGTGACTGGAACCCCCATGCCAGTCACAAAAGCAACAATACCAGGCTACCCACAGACAATGTAGGGGTGTCTATACATTTGAGGAGTTAGATTCGAGTCCAACAGCACCTTACGAAACCAACAAGATTTTCGGGGTAGAAGCTTTTGAGAGTCATAGCTCCGTTCATCTTGCTGGTCTCCAAGATGCTACTGGACTGGTCTTCTATTGCAGACCAACATGGCTGTCCTCTGAAACAATATATCTGGGGGACTCCCTGTTATGCAGGGACAAAAATATGATTTTGTTAAAAAAAAAAATTAAACCTCTCCCACCCAATAAAACCTGCCTGATGACTAAATATGCTACAGAAAACAGGGACTATTGAGAGAACTGACAGTAAATAAGAGGGGAAATGTGGTTCAAAACCTTGAAAGTTTATAATGTAGGGTCCGGGGGGGGGGCAGATTTTCAAACAGCCCCCCCCCCCGTGATTCCTCACAAGACTCCCATTTGGATTAACCCCTTATGGGACTCAATTCTATCCCTGGTAAAGTTGATCTGGCATTATCAAAGAAAAACAAATTCCTGTCCGAACAACCAGTTTTTTAACTGCAAGGTTAATCATTATTCGAATGCGGCATTTCATGCCATGAATTCCTTGGATCGAGAGCCAGGTCTATTCTAAAGGTCTGCATCCATTTCTGTTGTTGATTTCTGCACATTCTCCATGAGGTCCTGCTAATGTGCATAATAACTAATATTCTTCAGTCAATTCACATTGGCCAGAACAGATACCCTGCAAAAGAGTGAAAGCGATTCTGGATATGGAGTACTTTCATTTTTAAAACAGCCAGTCGATGGTCCTCTTGATTAGAGAAGACGTCACACTGCAGTGGCTGTAATTTCACCTGACTCTGTCCCTCTCCTTCCATTTTTGCCTTTGTGTATTTTAGACACCCACACTTTAAAAAGAATAAGTAACACTTTGGTAAAGAATTCGGTCATGGGTGTGGGATAGTGCGCATGGAGCTGCTGCAGTGTTAAGAACATGGTCAAGGGGAACTTTTGTGGCTTAAAATATATATATCCACCTGTTTCACCACTTACAAGAAGTGTTCCCTCTAAGCTGAGTTAGTGTGAGCTAGCTCACAGTTTTTTAGCCTCCGGCTCACACATTTTGGTCCTCACTCAGGAAGGAGGGGCTCCAGAGCAGACTAATTTATGCAGCAGCCCAATCGCTCGCTCGCAACTTTCATGCCAGCAGCTCACAAAGTAGAATTTTTGCTCACAAGACTCCACAGCTTAGAGGGAACATTGCTTACAAGCACCAGGAAACTCAAAGAAACTGTATTATTTGATCTTGCTGGGAAACAATACATGTAGCTTCTTAGGAAAACAACCATGATGTGATAACGAAACCATGGTTTAAAGAATTAGAAAAAATATATTTTTAATGTGTCCAGTGCATAACAAGTCATTAAAGTTGTTTCCTTCGAAGCAAAATGGTCTCAAAGACTTGTTATACACTGGACACATTAAAAATATATTTTTTCTAATAGTTTAAACCACGACTTCGTTATCACATCACGGTTGTTTTCCTAACAAACTACAGTCTGTCCCCTGATCTCTCCCTCTCCGACATGGGAAACGATGCGTGGCAGCATTCCTTTGATAATTTTACCTGAACAAAAAAAATAAAGTGCTTGAAAGATGTGTTCAGATGCGCCTCTTCCTGCAGCTGGATGACGGGATCGAAGTGCTGGTGGTAGATGTGAGCGTAAACTCTGAAGAGACGCTTTAGGATGGTCTTGGCCACTGACATGAAGTTCTTTGGGAAAGGAACACCTGGAAATCAACAGAGAAAGCCTTGGCTTGTAACACGGGTCAGCACAATGGCTGCGATGCTTAGGACTCAACAGGACGGCGGCTTCCTGAGCTTTTGCTTAAGCAGGGAGGTGGGGCAGCCTGTGACCAATAGAGAGACAGGTGCTTCAACTGGGGGTGTTCCTGAAGTGAGCACAGGAAGGCTCCTGTCAGTTACAGGGAATGACAGGGACCAGCACAGGCACATCTCCACGGTTGGGATCAAGAGTGCTGGAAGAGCACCTTCTGTTCAAGAGACCTTTTCTTTTCTTGCTAGGAACCAAAAGGACGACCTTGACCAGTGTTCCCTCTAAGCTGAGCTAGTGTGAGCTAGCTCCCAGCTTTTTAGCCTCCGGCTCACGCATTTTTGTCTCGGCTCGGGAAGGGATGGCTCCAGAGATAAGCATATGGAGCAGAGGTCCATCAGTGGCTATTAGCCACAAGGTATAGATAGCAAGTGATGCTCTGTCTTCTTGGTGCTGGGGGGGGTCAACAGTGGGAGGGCTTCTGGTGTCCTGGCCCCGCTGGTGGACCTCCTGATGGCACTGGTATTTCTGGCCACTGTGTGACACAGAGTGTTGGACTGGATGGGCCTTTGGCCTGATCCAACATTGGCATCTCTTATGTTCTTCTTTTCAGAGCAAGCTAATTCATGCAGCGGCCAAACCACTCGCTTACAACTTTAATGCCAGTGGCTCACAAAGTAGAACTTTTGCTCACAAGACTCCACAGAGGGAGCATTGCACCTGACCTGGATGGCCCAGGCTAGCCCGGTCTCATCAGATCTTGGAAGCTAAGCCGGGTCAGTCCTGGTTAGTACTTGGATGGGAGACCACCAAGGAAGTCTAGGGACATTCCACAGAGGCAGCCAACGGCAAACCACCACTGTTAGTCTCTCGCTTCGAAAACCCTATGGGATCGCCGCAAGTCAGATGTGACTTGGTGGCCCTTTCCACCACCACCAAGCCCAAGACAACTGAAACCATCCAACGGATTCCACTGTTTGGCCTCAATGTCACAGATCTCGGTTCATCCAAATGGCTCTCTGTGAGGCCTGGTCGATTTCACTTTGGGCAAAAGGCGCAAGGGGGGGGATCTGTGACTGGAATGGAGAGAGACAGAAACCCGTATCCAAAAAGCAAGAGTGTCTTCAACATGGACGTTGCCACAATAAAACAAAGTTTGCTCCTTTGTGACACGGCCCACTGGACAGGCTCAATGAAACAACAACTGTGGAATCCATGCAGTCGTGGAATCCATGCTCAACAGACTAGAGCCTGTCAATAAAGCCATAATTTACGGGGCAGGGGAATTCAAAGTGGCAGGTTTAGTCTCTCAAACCTTTTAGGAATTTAGTCCCGCGCATAACAAATTAAAGATGTCTGATATATATATATTTAAAAACCATGTTTATTCACATTAGAGGGACCACCATACAGTGAGCCAAAAACGACAGGGTCTGCCAAGTTATCTGGAAATGGACAAAAACCAGAGCAGGGAAGGCCTTATTTTTAGCAACCACTTATGAAACGCTATGGATAAGGTGACGTCTACAGGATGCAGAACGTTTTCTTGGAACAGAAAAGTATCTTGCATGTGCCTTTTTTCCCGAAAGAGATATTTTTACAACAATTATTTTAACAAAACAATGATCCTTGGTATGCGTGGGCAAGCAAAATACACAATACTAATCCAGTCCGGCAAAAATCTCCCTCTAAGGAATATGTCATTGACCATTAGGAAGCGATAAACAAAAGGATAATGGTGCTGAGACGAAGAGCTGGAACCTGTGCTTTCCCTCGTCACTGCTTTTCCCCCTCTAGGGAGGAAAATAAATATTTCCATTAAAAAAACAAACACAGAGGAAGTATTGGCGATACAAACATTGGTTTCCAAAAATAATCTTCTTCCTTTTAATTAAGGATTGCTTAAGATTGTGCATGACCTCAACATGCACTGAATTTTTTTGATACATATTCGAGATTAATTTTGTAAAAACTGCTAAAGCTCAATCAACGCCAAACACCCACTCACCCACCCAGACACGCACAGAGCTGGTCTCTTCAGCGGTTCTTTATTTTTCACTCTTAATTGAGTTCCCCTGGATGTTATGGTTAAAGCTCCTGTTCCTTTAGAAACACCCACTGACGGCCATGGTTTGTAAATTAAAACCATCCCAGCTTTTAGGCATGATAATATTTGTTTTATTTATAGTCTGCCTTTCTCGGGAGACTCAAGGAGGACTACAAAATTTAAAACAATGCTGTAGGACAATATAGGATACATCGTATTTTTATTTGTTTAATTTATACCCCACACTGTCTCTCCACAGGGAAGTAATAAGTGCACATAGTGTAATAAGACTGGATCGCCAATTTAGAAAACAGTGCTATAAAACGGCAAGAGAAACACAAGAAATGTGCAAACGAACGGGATTACAAGATACCAAATAGAACAAAGTTTGAGTCCAGTAGTTCCTTTAAGAACAACTACGTTTAATTCTGGGTATAAGTTTTCACATGCACATGAAAGCTTATACCCAGCATTAAATTTTGTTGGTCTTAAACAGGGGTGGCCAAACTTGCTTAACGTAACAGCCACACAGAATAAACGTCAGATGTTTGAGAGCCGCAAGACATGAATAAATATTACACACACGTTTTTATTGAAAAATATGCAAATTTATTAACATTAAATTAGACTGTGTAAGACAGCCGCATGTGGCTCCCGAGCTGCAGTTTGGCCACCCCTAGTTTTAAAGGTGCCACCAGACTCAAACTTTATCCTACTGCTTCAGACCAACACGGCTACTCGCTTGAATCTATCGTCATGGGAGGATACCAAATATCTGTTTTAAAGTTACCTATTTTGGATGGAAATAGCGTCTCATCATCCAGCTGATCTTGAACCCAGGTCATAAGGTAATCGATGTACTTTGGTGCGGAGCACTTGATTGGCTTCTTTATGTTCGTTCCGTCTGCCCAGTGGTACTCGTATCTGGAACGGAAGACATCTCTAAGCAAACCCAGGTCTCCTTGTGTGCAAATCAAATCCACTTTTGCTTCCCCGATTTACTTTACAGAAGGTCTCTTAGAGAAGAAGAAGAAGAGATTGGATTTATATCCTGCCCTTCACTACCCAAAGGAGTCTCAGAGCGGCTTACAAACTCCTTTCCCTTCCCCTCCCCACAACAGACACCCTGTGAGGTAGGTGGGGCTGAGAGAGCTCTGACAAAAACTGCTCTTTTTTCAAGGACAGCTCTTATCAGATCTACGGCTTGCCCAAGGTCATCCAGCAGCTGCGAGTGGAGGAGCGGGGAATCAAACCCGGTTCTCCCAGATTAGGGTCCATGCACTTAACCACTACACCAAACAGAGACCTACTTCAGGTACATCTCAGAGCTCGTGGGATTTTTGAGTTTTGTTTTCCTTCAGAGCTGCAGACACACCCTGTGCTGGACTCTAAACAGTTTCTGACAAATCCCATCAACACTTCAAAGCAGCTGGCTACGGAGGACTATTGTTCAAGAAACCAAGGTGCAAAAAAGCCCCAGAGTTATGCAGATCTTTGGACACAAGAGAATGAGGGCCTACGTTCTGTCTTGCAAAGAAATATTCAACTGAAGCATTCAAGTGTGGCACAACGAAGAACAATAGGATTCTTTCATGCTATAATGAACAGCTGCTAAAATACTCCCCCTCTGACCACAAAGGAGTGTGTGCGTTTGTAGGGCAAGGGGGGTTTCCCGCGTTTGATGTCTGCACAGATGAAGTTCTGCCCACGTTAGTGCTTGCCATGCTATCTTGGCACTGCAATTTTAATATTGGAGGCAGCTTGCCTTTCACAACATAAAGCCTTCAAGGTTTGGCAGGACTCCCGACTGTGCAATAAGCAGCCCCCGTCGCTGAAAAATGGTACAAGCACAATGACCCATGACCCCCCAAAAAATCAGCTGATTAAACTATTGCTTTGTATTTTGCAGATATACCCATCCACAAGGGAACACACTGAGGAAGCTGCTCCACATAATAAGCTATTCCATCTAGTGCCCAGGAGTCTTGGATTTTGTCACTCCGGTCGCAACACTTATTTTGTCATTTCTGGTAGCAGTGTGAAAACTGAAAGCTTTGAGGCAGTAATGCATGGATTTAAAGTAAGGAACAAGTGGAACAAGTGGCAATTTTTGTCATATGCCTCATCGGTGAATGCATGCTCATTTCTCATCATCATCCATAAGCCTGCAAGGATCAAATAGAATTTTTATTTGAAGCGTGACATCAGCAATAAAAGTTAACCACAGTTAGCACTGACCGTGGTGTGTTTTGTTTTTTAAACCCCCGGAGGGGTATTTTTATTTTTTCAATAAGACTACAAACTACAAAAAAAAATATAGGAAGGGGAACTATAACTATGGATAAAGGAAAGAAACCCACACTAACTAAAATCTCAAGAGTGGGAGACCCCCTTTATGTTAACCTTAATATTAGTATTAAAAGAGTTAGTAAAACAATATACTTGTAGAGTTCTAGTTTTTCACATTGTTCTATATTAGTAAATTAGTTATTATGAGAGAACGTTCTGAGCATCTTCTTTATTTCAAAGAGCCATTTATCAGAGTCCTTCTGCCCTTACTTCGGCTTTCTGTCTCTAAAATCATATACAGTTTTCATTGCTCCCACTCTGACCGTGGTGTGTTGATTTAAATTCTGGCTGCACGAAACACATGAAACTGCCTTATACTGAATCAGACCATTAGTCTATTAAGGTCAGTACTGCCTACTCAGACCGGCAGCAGCTCTCCAGGGTCTCAGGAACAAGGTCTTTCCCGTCACCTCCTACTATCACTACTCAATCCTTTTAACTGGAAATGCCAGGAATTGAATCAGGGACTTTCTGCGTGCGAAGCAGATGCTCTCCCGTTGAACTTGGATTGTTGTTGGCCTCCCGTACACACTTTCTTCTTCTTGCATGGAGAAGCCAGAGTTAGTAATTAACTGGGTGTGTGTAATACACAAACGGAGGTGCAGAGATTAACCTGTAACTTTACAGGTTTAGATTCTAAGCTTAGTCCCAGTTGGGGAGGTGAACACTAACTCTGGTTGATATAGAAAAGAGCAAGAGTCCAGCAGCACCTTAAAGACTGACAACATTTGTGGCAGGGCAGGAGATTTCATGAGGCGCTGCTCACTTCTTCAAAATTCATTTCAGTAACCACCATTAAGCCAATCCTGAACTATGATTTAGAATTTCAAACGTAATACTTAACCATGGCTAAGAAGAACAACCTTAGGTGAAGTTTTGCGGCTGCGCGCGGCTTCTAAATAACGGGGTCGGAGAGAAAACGGCCGCTTAACGCCAGGCATGGAATTTTCTTCATGCAGAGAGAGGCAGCTGGGAGAGCGCAGAATTCGCACCCAGGAGCCCCATAAAGACCAACAAGATTTCCAGGGTACAGGCTCTCGAGAGTCAAAGTTCCCTTCGTCAGACTCTCAAAAGCTCACATCCTAGAAAACTTATGGGGTTTTACGGTGCTCCCGGACTCAATTCAGGGTCTTTCTATTGCAGACCGCCATGGCTACCCACCTAAACTAGTGCCAGGACAGTGAGTGCCACGACGACTCTGCAAGGCAACAGCCTATTTGAGAGTAAAAGGATGAACCAAAATAGGTACACAATTATTATATAAAGTAAAGGTAAAGGTTTCCCTTGCTCGAAAGCCAGTCGAATCCGACTCTAGGGTGTGGGGCTCATCTCCGTTTCCAAGCCGAAGAGCCAGCGCTGTCCGAAGACGTTTCCGTGGTCACGTGGCTAGCATGACGAGACGCCCAGGCGCACAGAACACTGTTACCTTCCCACAGAAGCGGTACCTATTTATCTACTTGTAATTTTTTGCTTTCGAACTGCTAGGTTGGCAGGAGCCGGGGCCAGAGACGGGAGCCCACTCCACCATGCGGCACACTCGGGTCTCAAACTGCTTAACTACTGACCTTCTGACCTGCAGTTCAGCGTCTTAAACTCTGAGCCACCACCAGTCCTACACAATTACATAGGGGCACTCAATTTATTTTAAAAAACAAAGTGGACTTTTCATCAGTTGATAAAGTCAGAGGAGACCTGAAAGTCACCTTGCCAACCTTTGGCTGTGAGGAAAGAGCAACCATACATCTGAGAATAAACAGATCAGAAAGCTATTGTTATGATACCACACCCTGAGCCTAGATGAAAGGTGGGGCACAAATATTTAAAGAGAATTAATAAAGGGCTACACCAGCCGGTTCTGGAGGTGACAGTAGAGCTATAACAAGTTAAATAATTGAAAATAAGCTCATCGATGTAGAAAGGAAGCGGAAGCAGAACAAAAACAGTGTGTTAGTGTACATCTATCTTTAACATTCTAAAAACAAAGAAACAACATTGTTTAGAGGCAGGGTAAGGAAGAAGAGGAGGAGGAGGAGGAGACTGGATTTCTACCCCACCCTTCACTACCCAAATGAGTCTCAGAGTGGCTTATAAACTCCTTTCCCTTCCCTTCCTCACAACAGACACCTTGTTGTAGTATGAATGGGAATATAAAGATTTTTATATATATGTTTTTTTCTTCTTGATTGTTCATATTCATATTTCTCTGGTTTTTACAGATTTATTCTTTAAGTAATATTTTATTAGGACGTTAGAAAGGCCTGTTATATAGAAGGCTTTCCTCTTGTAGGTCTGATATTGTTAGCAGACAACATAATAGGTACAAAGTTCATGATTCTGTAGTTCTTAGGGCAAACCTTTCAATGTCTGGGTCAGATAAGATTTTAGTCTCGTATCAGTAATGAATACTTTTGTTTGGGATATGAAGAATCCTTGCCCATTATCATTTACGTTCAGTTAAGTAAACACTTAGTTTGACGTAGATGTGTTTCTTTATATCTGGCCAATCAGAGGATTGTTACTCAAATTACCACTGTCTTTTGTAACTGTTTCAATATTGTTTTCTTGATGATGTCAGTCCAGGTATAAAATATCGTGTATTTCCTGAATATGTTCAGAATATGTTCAAGGAGAATATGAAGAAGAAAAAGAAGAAAGTTGTCAATTTTTGATTAGTTACTTGGTTCAATTGTTTTCCTGTTAATTGAAGCATATTCCCTAAATATGCTGAGAAGAAAGTAGTCAATTTTGGATGGACTATTTGGTCCAACTGTTTTCTTGTTAATTGAAATAAAATACAGATCTTCCTCCTCATTTGACTTCATTTTTGACATGGAATCTAATATGTACAACACTGTGAGGTAGGTGGGGCTGGGGGAGCTCTGACAGAAATGGCTGTTTTCCCACTTTTTCAAGAACAGCTGTGCCAGTGCCAGAACTATGGCTTGCCCAAGGTCATCCAGCAGCTGCAAGTGGGGGAGTGGGGAATCAAACCCAGTTCTCCCAGATTAGAGTCTGCACACTTAACCACTACACCAAACTGGCTCTCAACTTTACTTGCTCACAACTTTAATGCCAGTAGCTCACAAAGTAGAATTTTTGCTCATAGGGCTCCATAGCTTAGAGGGAGCATTGCCTGTAGGTGAGGCTGAGAGAGCTCTCTCGAGAACTGCCCTTAAGAGAACAGCTCTGGAAGAACTTGTGACTGACCCAAGGACACACCAGCAGCTGCATGTGGAGGAGTGGGGAAATCAAACTCTGTGCGTGTGTTAAGTGCCATCAAGTCACTTCCAACTTACAGCAACCCTATGAATCAATGACCTCAAAAACGTCCTTTCATTAACAGCCTTGCTCAGGTCTTGCAGACTGTGGGCCGTGGCTTCCTTGATAGAGTCAATCCGTCTTCCTCTTTTCCTGCTGTCTTCCATTTTACCTACCATTACTGTGTTTTCCGGTGTCTCTTGTGTTCTCATAATCAAGGCTCTTTTTGTATAAAAAGCCCAGCAGGAACTCATTAGCATATTAGGCTACACCCAACAGCAGAAACTCATTAGCCTATTAGGCCACACCCCTGACAGCACAGCTTATTAGCACATTAGGCCGCACCCCCATGTTACCAGAAGTCTGTTCATCCAGCCACACCCACCTTTTGCTTCTTATTCTGTTTACCTTGTTTGTTGTCAAAACCCAGGGCTTTTTTTTTTGGAGCAGGAACTCCTTTGCATGTTAGGCCACACACCCCTAATGTAGCCAATCCTAATGAGTTTCTGCTGTTGGGTGTGGCCTATTATGCTAATGAGTTCCTGCTGGGCGTGGCCAAATCGGGAGCCAGCCGGAACTCCGTTCCTGTGCGTTCCTGCCCCAAAATAGCCCTGCTCATAATGTGACCAGAGTAAGATAGCCTCAGTTTTGGTCATTTTAGCTTCTAGGGTAAGTTCAGGCTTGATTTAATCTAGAGAATTCCATTTACTAATCTCTTTTTTTATGTATATATTAGGCCTTTATATCGAGCTTTGAAGAACACCGCCTGCTTTCCAGTCAAGGTCATTTTTTTTTTTAATTTACAGAAAGCAAGCGTGCCCTGTTTTCCACCTCATGGTTTTACTACCTTGGTTAAGTGAAATAAGCATTCTTACTTTGGACCTGCAGACATCACTGGGCAGCTCTCCTCTGTGCAGAAATCTGTAATGGTCCCGTACAGCATGTTGATCTGGTTGAAAAAGTCCACAGCTATTTAAAAAATAATAATAATAAAAAAGTTGAACGTTCCATTTAGCAAAGTCATTAGCCAACAGTGCAAACAAAAAAAAATATTGGGTTTTCTGACTGCAAACTAAGACCGCACACTGCTAGGCCAGTCCACACAGGTTCTCTGCAAAGCTGCTCCACATTGGTGGATGTGTTAAGACTGTAAAGGAAACACTCGGGGTGGCCAGTGGACCTGGAGAGAGAAAAATGTCCTTTGACAGAGGCTTAATATGTGGAAATGAGCAGCGGAAGCTCTTCATGGCATGGAGGTAAATAACAATATCTGCTAAATAGTATCCCATTAAACCCCTATTAAAAGGGACATTTTTTGCCTCCAAGCAGACGGCAACCCTATTCCCCATTTCCACACCCCTCTCCCCCCTTAGCCCTTGCCGAATTGTTAGGGGACTAAATAAAACACTAAATCACCATGTGTAATTTTACAAATTTGTGTTTTTATATTATGCTAAATGTGACTTATTGAAGTATTTTTAGAACGATTCATTAACAGAAACACAGATTAACCATTAACCATGAAGCTCAACAGTACATTCAGAATGATGTCACTTCTATAGAAATATTTACAGCCAATAACAAGGTCTTACCTTAGGCACAAGGTCCTAATCTAATATAGGTAAAGGTAAAGGTGTCCCTTGCTCGAAATCCAGTCGAATCCGACTCTAGGGTTGCGGTGCTCATCTCCGTTTTAAAGCCGAAGAGCCAGCGCTGTCCAAAGACGTTTCCGTGGTCATGTGGCCGGCATGACTAAACACCAAGGCGCACCTTCCCACTGAAGTGGTACCTATTTATCTACTTGCAATTTCTTGCTTTCGAACTGCTAGGTGGGCAGGAGCTGGAACGAGACGGGAGCTCACTCCGTCATGCGGCAACTCGGGTCTCGAACTGCTGGACTACCGACCTTCCACAGCCTGCAGTTCAGTGTCTTAACCACTTGAGCCACCGCAGCTCCAGGAATCTTATATACTTATTATGCCTACTAGAACGCCATTGTTTTTCTTGGTTGGTTTTGTAATCTAATATACTTATTACAAAACCAACCAAGACAAACAATGGCGTTCTAGTAGTCATTCCGTTTGCATATTCTTCATCAGGTTTGTCTGTTGTTGTTGATTCAACACAATCTTGAAGGACTGAAGGCAATGTTTCAAGATTCTAAGCACTAGTTCATATAGTATATTGGTGCCACACTATTGCGTTTAAGTTCTGGTGACTGGGAATTGCCAGTATTAGACAATGATGTGACTAGGTCTACAATACATTTCAAATGGCTGAACTTCCCTAGTGTGGCCAACGTGTCTCTTATTCTGCTCTTGTGAATTTTCGTCTACCATTTTTGCAGAATGTGATGCTTGCAGAACCATTCCGGTGTGCTCTCTCGCAAGGCCAACGCTGCTGCTGCGTTTCAATATCAGCCATAAAAGCTACTCCACCGCACACCATCACCAGAGGAGGGGCAGTCCTTTTCCACAATAATCAAGGTACTTAGGTCTGTTTCCTAGAATCTGTGTGTTGATTGTTTTCAAAATGTCATTTTTTTAAAGACCTGTTGGAACTGAAGACTGGCCTTGAACACGTGACCTCCGTGCAAGTAGTTTTGTTTCTGCCTGCTGGAGACACAGCAACAGCGGGGAGAGGTTTGTGACCTTCCGCAAGTTAACTGCGCTAAGGGTTTTCAATGCTGCCGTCCTTATTAAACTACTATTCAAACCATGCCTTCAATTCAGCAAAGCTGTCTGGTCCTTCTGTGTCCTTCAACTCCAGTCAAGGAGCACTTGAAGAACAAAGGAATTAACATTCTGATGTTGTAAAGGTATTTCTTTCCTCCCGCCTGTGTTCAGACCAAAGGAAAGGAAAGGGCAAACGAATATTCCACAAAGTACCCTATTTACCTGAAAGGAAGACAAAGAATGGTTTTCGACACATGTGCCATAAAGAAAAAGAGGGGGCCGTTTTAAATTATAAGCTACACCTGCAGTATGTACAGTAATAAAAAACCTTTATTTGGTGGGTTCTCTTACATTTTGGGTAAATATGGTATTCTTCACAGAGCTGTGTTGGCATTGCTGGTATCAATACCAAAATTACATTTTCATAACTACCGCATTTCTAAGAGTGACGGTACTATAACTACAGTCTGCCTGACTCCAGGGATGTCGACAAAGATTTATAAGCTACATATGAATTCTCCCCCCCCCCTGCAGTTTCTCTTTGTGGACACATTCTCATGTATACTTCTGTTTAATAAAGCTTTCACAAGTTTTAATTCCTGTAATTGCTCTTAGTGAGAGAGAAGACATGTGCAGAGATGAGGGGTTCATACTACAATCATAAGAACATAAGAGACGCCAATGTTGGATCAGGCCAATGGCCCATCCAGTCCAACACTCTGTCACACAGTGGCCAAAAAAAATACCAGGTGCCATCAGGAGGTCCAGCAGTGGGGCCAGGACACTAGAAGCCCTCCCACTGTCCCCCCCCCAAAAAGCACCAAGAATACAGAGCATCACTTGCCCCAGACCAAGAGTCCCTATCTATACCTTGTGGCTAATAGCCACTGATGGACCTCTGTTCCATATGCTTATCTAATTCCCTCTTGAAGCCATCTATGCTTGTAGCCACCACCACCTCCTGTGGCAGTGAATTTCACGTGCCAGTCACTCTTTGGGTGAAGAAGTACTTCCTTTTATCCATTCTAACCCGACTGCTCAGTAGTTTCATTGAGTGCCCACAAGTTCTTGTATTGTGAGAAAGGGAGAAAAGGAGCTCTTTCTCAACCTGCTCTACTTGCTCTATCCTAAGCAAAGTTACACTTTTTGACTTAGAAAGGTGCAACTCTGCTTAGGGTGGCACTGAGGGACTCCTACTGAAAGAGGAGCACATAACCCTGCTCCTAATAAGCTGTCCATGTGAACCAAGATGGAGCGGCTCAGCTTCCAGCTGGGATGCCTCTGTTCTCCATCAAGGGGACGGATGCTTCCTGCCAAGAGCTTCACTGAAACTCAGGGACAACCTCCCCTGCCCCTCCCAGAATCCTAGGAGGAAGAGCAGGAAACACCAGCATCTTCTCAGTGGGGAAGAATACGGTGGTGGAAAGTGCTGCAGCCGACATACGACAATGAGCGTTAAGGCAAGCAATGAACAGAGGTGGTTTGCCATTGCCTGCCTCTGCATAGTGGACCTGGACGTCCTCGGTGGTCTCTCATCCAAGTACTAACCAGGGCCGACCCTGCTTAGCTTCCAAGACATAATGAGATCGGGCTACCCTGAGGCCATCCGGGTCAGGGCAATAATTGTGTGCCATCAAATTTCAGCTCACTTATGGCAACGCTGTAGGGCAGGGGTGTCGAACTCATTTGTTATGGAGGGCCAGATATGACATGAATTGGACTTTGTCGGGCCGGGCCACGTGTGTCATAAAATGTAATGCCAGGTAGCAGAGATATAAACTTTATAAAGGACACAAACACAAAGATTTTTTTTTTTACTTAAAATAAAAACATGCCTGAAACATTAGCATCCTTGCAATATTTTGTTTATTTAACCGTCTCTGATAACTGACCCCTCTTCCTCTGAATTAGTGCATCAAAATGTGCTGTAGCAATCGGGGAGGGGGAGGAGCCTCAGCCCAGTCCAGGGAGCAGAAAGCTCTGCCTATCTATCTCTTCTGAGTGATTGAGTGAGAGAGTCTGGGAAAGCAAGCTATAATGCCACAGCAGCAGCAGAACTGGAGGAATAAGCAGGAGACAGCCAGTCCCTTGCGGGCCTGATAGGAGCCCACTAGGGGCCTGATCTGGCCCCCGGGCCGCATGTTTGACACCCCTGCTGTAGGGTTTTCTATGCAAGAAATAACAGAGGTGGTTTACCATTGCCTGCCTCTGCATAGCAACCCTGGAATTCCTTAGAGACCTCCTATCCATGTACTAACCATGGCAGACCCTGCTTAGCGTCTGAGATTTGATGAGATCGGGTTAGCCTGGGCCATCCAGGGTTAGGGCACATCAGTATCTCCTCAGTGGAAAAGAAGGTACTGCATATATAAAGGCTATGTGAACAGATGTAAGGCACACCCTCCAACATAATCCCCAAATGAGCACTTGGAACTCCTGGCCTTTGGTGTAAATGCTGCCTTGTGTCCTCAAAAACAACAATGGTGTATAACTTATGCCCTGCCCACAAGTCCCAAAGTCTCCTCTTGCAGGTTGTGGTGGCTTAGGAATGTGGTAATACACAGAGGAAGATCCAAAACCTGAAACAATTAACAAAGTTAACATTCACTACACTTTTCATGTCTCATCCTTTCCAAGGTTCTCGGTCAGCTGATCTAACTGGCATAGCTAACGAACGCCAAAAAAAAAACACAACTCCCATCAATAGTAACCTGGCATTTGTCCACCTGAGCATCCCTAACTGTCATGTGCTGGGAAGCACCTTCCAAGAACAGGTGGTGAGCCAAGGCACCTGGCTCATTCAAGAGGACGCAACTACAGGTCACGGGGCAAACAGCTCAGTATCCAGGAACGGTGGGGAAACTGGCAGCGAGCCAGTTTGGTGTAGTGGTTAAGTGCGTGGACTCTAATCTGGGAGAACCGGGTTTGATTCCCCACTCCTCCACTTGCACCTGCTGATGTGACCTTGGGTCAGTCACAAGCTCTGGCACAGCTGTCCTTGAAAAAGAGCCGTTTGTGTCAGAGTTCTCTCAGCCCCACCCACCTCACAGGGTGTCTGTTGTGGGGAGGGGGAAGGGAAAGGAGTTTGTAAGCCCCTCTGAGACTCCAAGTGAAGGGCAGGGTATAAATCCAATCTCTTCTTCTTCTTCTTACACTACAGAAGCTGAGGAGAGGTGCGAGGCACGGGGGAGAAGGCCAGGAACACTTCGGAGTAGAACCTGTAAGCTGCACCATCTGTGAGTGCCCTGTGGCACTGCCAGTAATAAAGACTGGCAAGCTGACAGCAAAAGTCAGGAGCTACTAATGATGGGAAGTGAGAGAACAACCAGAAACGCCAGCAGAGTTATTTGGGCCTGGAAGATTCGCTGAACCCAGCAGTTACCACCAGATCTAGACGTACGGCTTTTCCACTATTGGCCCTGTAACATACATCTACTGGGCAATATTGTCCAGATAAGCATGCCAGCGACAGAAGGGGGTTGAACTTGGACCCAAAGAGAGCCAGTGTGGTGCAGTGGATGGAGTGGTGGACTAGGACCCGGGGTGAGCCAGGTTCCAATCCCCGCTTCCGCCATGGAAGCTCGCTGGGTGACTTTCGGCCTGTCACAAACTCTCAGCCTGGCCTACCTCACAGGGCTGTGGTTGTGAGAAAATGGCGGAGGGGAGAACAATGTTCTAAAAATCCACTTTTGAGTCCAGAATGGGAGAGAAGCAGGATGTAAATAAGTAAGTGCAAATTCAATCTCTGCTTGGTCAAGACGACACAAATGGCCTGGGAAGCCATTATCCATAAAACAGCAATGCCGGGGGGGGGGGGGGGGGGGGGATGATAGAGATTTATAAAATTATGCATGGGGTGGAGAGTGTTGACAAAGAAAACTTAGAAACCAATAATAAAAAAACAGGGGGGGGGGGGGGGGGGGGGGGATGATAGAGATTTATAAAATTATGCATGGGGTGGAGAGTGTTGACAAAGAAAACTTTTTCTCCCTCCCCCAACATGCTAGAACTGGAGGGCATCCAATGAAGCTGACGGGCAGTAGGGTCAGGATGGACAAAAGGAAATACTACTTGATACAGAGAGTGATTCAAATGTGGAATTTGCTGCCAGAGTATGCATAGACAGGCATAGACAGCTTTAAAAAGGGATTAGATAGATTCATGGAGGATAGGCCTGTCAGTAGCTACTAGCCATGGTGACTGAGGAGAACCTCCACATTCAGAGACAGTTCAACCTCTGAATCCCAGTGCCAGGAGGCTACATCAGGGGAAGGCCTCAGCCTCTCTGCCCTGTTGTTGGACTTCCAGAGGAACTGGTTGGCCACTGGGTGAGACAGGAGGCTGGACTAGATGGACACTCACTGGTTTGACCCAGCAGGGCTCTTCTGAGGTTCTTATGAAGGGCTCAGCCTCTATGCCCTGTTGTTGACCCTCCAGAGGAACTGGCTGGCCACTGTGTGAGACAGGATGCTGGACTAGAGGGACCACTGGTCTGATCCAGCAGGGCTCTTCTGATGTTCTTATATTCTTACCATAAGGGGAAGGCCTCGGCCTCTATGCCCTGTTGTTGGCCCTCCAGAGGAACTGGCTGGCCACTGCGTGAGACAGGACGCTGGACTAGATGGACCACTGGACTGATCCAGCAGGGCTCTTCTGATGTTCTTACAAGAGGCTTTAAAGTGCTAACAGACTGCAAAAGCATCTTCATGTACCGCAGTCCCGCAAAAGCACTGCCTTTATAAAATCCATCTTGAATGACTGAGGCCCGGTTGAACTGTCTCTTGACAAGCTCTGAGCTTCAAGGCAACCTATCAAATGTGCTGCAGGGCTTTGAGCTGGCCGTTTATCCAGCTGGACAGAGCATGCTTTGGTGGCTTGTAATGTAAATCTGTGGTGGGAGCCAGATGGAAGATATTTCAGAGAGCTGGAAATTGTATGGGAGGGGCCTGCATACACCCATCCCACTGCTCCCTATAGCTACACAGATCTTCTTAAGTTCAACCCGCCCCCAAACCTACCTACACCTGTTTGACCAAAGTTGACAAAAATGTGCATGCACTTTGGGTAATAAGGGCTCCATCATCTCTTTCAACTCTGTTTCAGTACAGTCTATCTCTAGGCTGTTAGGCAAGACTCCTGGGTTTCAGGGCAAGACAGTCAGAGCTGCTTGGGTCAAGCTTGCATATAAGCAGACAGGAGGTTTCACAACATTCGTACCAGGAAATTACCACATCATTAAATGACACTGCAGCAGTAGGAATGCAGAAGAGATTACTTTTAATAATCTAAGAAGGTGGTCTTGAGCCTCTTTCTATTTGCATAAAGGGGGGGGTTAGTGGCAACCCCCCCCCTTTAGAAGTTTATACAGGTAGGAAGAGATATGGTGATGGGAAAGGGTCAGATCAGGGGAAAGATGATTAAATACTGGTGGCCCAGTTTTCTCTTCTGGCCTCTCTTCCAGCTAAAGAGTCCCTACCTGCCATACCACAGTTTGGTGTAGTGGTTAAGTGCGCGGACTCTAATCTGGGAGAACCGGGTTCGATCCCCCACTCCTCCACTTGCACCTGGCTGGATGACCTTGGGCAAGCCATAGTTCTGTCAGAGCTGTCCTTGAAAAAGAGCAGTTCCTGTCAGAGCTCTCTCAGCCCCGCCTACCTCCCAGGGTGTCTGTGGTGGGGAGGAGAAGGGAAAGGAGTTTGTGAGCCGCTCTGAGACTCCCTTGGGTAGTGAAGGGCGGGGTATACATCCAATCTCTGGTCTTCTTCTTCTTATATTCAAAATGTTGCTTGCAGAAAACAAAGGTGTTTACATTAATTAAAATAATCAGTCATAATCACCCCTCTCTGCACAAGCGAACCTTTTTGGAGCAGAAACCCTCTTCCCGTGGCTGTCTTGAATTACATGATTATCTCCCTAAATACGTTTGTAGGTGTCTTAATTCCAAGCTTCCCCTCCAGCTCCTCGATAGAATGTTTCTCCATGGAAACCAGAGACTGCTTATTTTAGCAACTGATGCCTTAATTCAGAAGGGGAAGGGCATGTCTGTGCAGCAAAGATGCTGTAAGCTGGAATCTGAAGGAGTCGTCTACTAGGATGTTATCGGCTTTCGGTGCTTGCCAAGAAAACCAATCCTGACGTTTCTCCCGAGAAGAAAAGTTGTAATATAAAGAAATAGCTGTGGAGGATCCCCAGAGAAACAAGCAGCTCTTCAGCCTCAAGACACCCACTGATGAATTTGATAAATAGCACTGTAAATCCAACTTAATTAATAATTATCATATGGCATTGTCTGTAGAATAGCCAGGAGATCCAAAGATTGTCTAGCAGGCACAAGTTCTAGCTCTTAGCATTATGCCAGTGGTGAGCAAGACTTGTTTTGGGGGACTGAGAGAGCTCTGAGAGAACTGTGACTGGCCCAAGGTCACCAAGCTGGCTCCATGTGGAGGAGTCGGGAATCGAACCCAGTTCTCCAGATTAGAGTCCGCCGCTCTTAACCACCACGCCAAACTGGCTCTGGTTTTAAACAACACGGACTGCCCATAGTTGGTAATGTCTCAGACCTGGAAATTTTAGGAATTGTGGCTGATCCTTCCTGTTCTTGCAGTCCCAAGGAAGCAGCCGAAACAAGATTTTTCAAGCCCCTCTACACCAGAGTTTCCTTACCCTGCTTATTCTGTCAAGACTTTTACCTCTGCCAGATATCCCAGGGGGGGGGGGGTGTAGAGAAACATGCATGTAGGAGATAAACACAAATAATGGCTGCCCAGTAAGCCACGTTAATATTGGTGGACCTTTGTAAACAGTAACAGGAACGAATGGTACACATAAAGGCGTATTGTGTTATTCTTCTTATTTATACAGTGCCTAAGACATGTTTTCTCAGCATATTCACCTTTAATTCTGAAAGAGAGGCTAGATGGCCATCTGACAGCACTGCTGATTCTGTGAACTTGGGCAGATCACGAGAAGGGAGGGCAGGAAGGGTTGCCTCAGTGCTTAGTTCTCGCGGCCCTTTCTTAAGAACATAAGAGAAGCCAGTGCTGGATCAGGCTAATGGCCCATCCAGTCCAACATTCTGTGTCAGACAGTGGCCAAAGATACCAGGTGCCATCAGGAGGTCCAGCAGTGCGGCCAGGACACTAGAAGCCCCCCCACGGTTGCCCCCCCCCCCCCCGCCGGAGTCTCGAAAAGCCTCGGCAACCCTAGTCCCAAGCCATGTGCAACATCTGCCTTTTAGGACAAGGTATGTAAAATATTGCATATTCAGATATTCTGGGAACTATTTCTTGTGCTAAACATAAAGACTCTCCACCCAACCCTTCCCAGACGTGCCAGCATCCAGAATCACAGAGGGCGATAAAATGTCATGCATACTTACTATTCACTGCGACCCATTCGTTCAAGTCTTCACCCTCGGGTAGCATGACCGCCATCCGTAGGTTACCGCTTCCGAGTGTGGCCTCTGCATGCTTCAGCAGCTCGTATTGGTGGGAGCCTTCCGGAATATTCTTTTTTGGTTTAAAGGTTTTAGAAGA